AGGTAGGTTTCCAGCAGGTGGTCCTGCAGCAGGTAGTCCTGCAACAGCTGGTTGGACAGCAGGTTGAGCGGCAGCAAGGCTGGCAGCAGCTGGACTCACAGCAGCTGGGCTGGCAGCAGGTGGTCCTGTAGCAGGTGGGCTGGCAGCAAGGGGAGCAGCAGTGGGTCATGGTGTTGGGATGGAGGGTGAGTTGCTGTTCAGAGGTGAGTTTCCCAGAATCTGATGAGTCCTCCTGATCTGGACCTTTTATACACTGGGTAACCAATGTTTGGACCAATCAGCAAAAATTTTCCTTGTTGTTGTTTACATTGTTTTCTATAGTCACTGTGTGAATTATAAAGGAGGAAGTTGTTTCCTAAGTGTTAAGAATATTTTAAAGTAAATGCTTAATCTGTTTCTTAATTGAGAATAACTCATAGAAAATGTTTTTCAGATAAAAGGAAGGTGGTCACGTCATGAGCATCGTTCCTGCTCTGGTCACCATCTGGTCATGTGATAGTTCCTGCTGGCCTAGGAAGGTCAGAAAGTTCTCCCTGCCCAGCCTGTTCCTTTGGCTGTATGTAGATTGGGAGGTGTCCGTAGGGTGGGGTGTGGTGCTGATATGTTCACAGTGATGAATTGAATCCATGACTGGGTCCAAGTCTGTTCACCCACAAAAGCCTGATTCAAGTCTAACAGGCATCTCTCTCTGGACAACCTACTCCACCTGTGTCTCCCAGTTGTATCAAGGACACTTGGGAAAAGGATATTTGGCATATTGTTTTCCACGTGGAAGATCAGAACCAAAGCAGGTGGGTAGAAAGAGTAGCGCTTTGGCATTAAGAAAGCATCAAACAGTTTATTTCCTGGGGTGACCATGAACTCTGGTTTGCCCAGGACTGAAGGGTTTTCCAGGATGTGGGACATTCAGTAATTTCCTAGGGCAGCGTGGGTAAACTGAGATGAGTTGATGATTCTAATCCTAACCCTGGTTACCAGCAGAGTCAGAGATTTCGGGTCATGACAAAACATTTTGTATGTTCTTGCTCTCTATTCCTTCCTTTCTCCCTCCCTGCCTCTGTTTCTCTTTTCCCTTCCCTTCCCTCCTCCCCCCATTTTTCTCCTTTATTTTATCAGTAGTTTATCAAAAGATTTTTTTCTTTTTGGAAATGCATAATCATATCATTTATGATGATAGTTTAATTCACTTCATAATAATCTTTTCATATTTCAATTTTTTCTTATCCTAGTCCACTGCTAGGCCCTCCAGGACAATGTTGAATAGAATAGTATTGTGGATGTCTTAGGATACTCTTGGTATAGCAGGGACACTACTCAATTTTTGCAATTAAGTGCTATTCTTTCTGTCTTTTTGTAGAATCAGAATACCTAGGTTTTTCCTATTCTTTAATTGTTAAGATATTCTACCTTGAAACTATATTGAAATTTATGAAATGCTTTTTCTTTGTGTATTGAGATAACATTATAATTATCCTACTCTCTTTAGTGAGTGTGATGTAAAAAATTAAGAATGTTCAAATGTTAATTTCTGCCAATAATTCAATGTGGTTATGACATGTATATGGTGCTGAATCTGCTTTGCTTATATCTTGGTTAGGTTAGATGCTGCCATTGCATTCCAGAAATTTATCCTTCCATTGTTACTCTATGTCCTTCACCAAATAAGTGAGTTCTGACTGTGGCAAGATTCCCACTTTCCTGTGCCCAGTGTGACTTTGGTGTGGCTCCCCGTATTGGTGTTTTTAAAGACATTTCTATGCCCCACAAAATACATTAGCAGAGCTATTACAGATTGTGGGCTTGGGAGCAACAGTTCTCTTTCAATAGGTGCACTACAATATCCCACGGTTCCCATTCTAACGCACATCATGGGGAGAATCCAAAGGAGAAACTTGTAGCCGAATTGCAGATTTTGTTGTCTACTTTGTTTTTTGTTTTTTTTTTATTTCAGCATGTTATGGGGGTACAGATGATTAGGTTACGTATGATGTCCTTACCCTCCCTCCCCCCCAAGTCCGAGCTTCAAGTGTGTCCATTCCCCCGGAGGTGCGCATCACACTCATTGTTTGTGCATATGCCCGTCCCCTCCTACCCCCTCCCCCTGCCCAACATCTAATACATGTTATTCTTATATGTGCACTTAAATGTTGATCAGCTAATACTAGTTTGATGGTGAGTACATGTGGTGCTTGCCTTTCCATTCTTGGGATACCTCGCTTAGTAGAATGTGTTCCAGTGCTTTCCAGGAGTATATAAGAGGTGCTATATCACCATTGTTTCTTAAAGCTGAATAGTACTCCATAGTATACATATACCACAGTTTATTAATCCACTCATGTATTGAT